AGTTAACCTACTTACAGAACACATTCATCTGCTCAGACACTGAGGTAACGCAGAAGCTCACACGAATACACAGGAACAGCTGAACAAGAAGGTTCAGATATGCCCAAATGAAGCGAGGCGGGTGTGTTAAATATATAAAAAAAACAACAAAGCAGAACAAGTGTGTGCAATGATTGTAGAGCAAAGGTCGACGTGTGCAAAAGTTTAAAATAGAGCAAAGACTCCGTGAGGACAGACTGTCAGCAAACCGTGTTGAATTTCAATTAGTTTACTTTTCTGCTAAAAGCTGCTTTTAGCTTTAAGCCGACAGTCGTGGTGTCAGTTGTACTCACTCAGACACTCGTTTGTTTAATAGTTACCTGCTGCGAGGGAAGGAAGAGATTAAATCAGCATCTGTATTTCTGTTGTTCTCTCTGAAACAAGAGGCAGAATAATATTTAAATAACAATATGTTCCACTCATCAGGTTCTACTGATGTTAGAGCCTCAACAGTTGGTAGAATGTGACCAAAGACTGGATTTCAGTAGAACCATGGATCCATCCATAGATAGACACTGACAGGAACTTTCTGGATCAACACCAGCCTGGATTAAACATAGTGTAGTGTTGTTGTTGTTTTCATTTTCAAGAACCAATAATTAAAAAATTCAATCATTTAGAACAGCTTGAAACTACTAGGTCAGATTTTATTTTAATTTTTTTTTTAAAGGGTGAAAAACATGTTTACCAGGACATGAGCGAAGGTTAAATCTGTATATTCCAGATTTCAGCTTCAGCTTTGAACTGTTTTCTCTAAATGTCGCAGGTCGAAGCTGATTGATGCCGTTTTTCAGCGCCTGAGTGTGAAATGGCTGTTTGGCAGGTTTGAGCGACAGAAGTGGGTCAAATCGAGCTTCCGGCAGACAAGCGGACTCACATGGTTTGTGTAATGAGGAGCACGAAGGCGTCCGTTAATGTCACCTCTGAGACTGAAGCTGCTTTGTTCTGCTTCACAACAAAAGACCATCAGCACGTGAGATTAGCTGGAGGAGCTCAGACTGGCTTCCACAACAGAATAACACGGTAGACGTTGATCATATAATTTATTTAGGAAAGTCGAACACAAAAGGAACATTTAGTTTGCTACGTTTCCATCTGAAAAGAGAAAGTAAAGCTGCTTTAACATCTGAAAGAAACACATGATTCTAGACACTGATTGGTGAACAGCCCTTTAAAGAGACGCAACTTATGGATATGACATAGTAATAAAATACAAACCACACAATAAACTTTTCTTGCTGTGGGTTAATGATGAAGTTAAAACGTCTCAAATACGTCAGAAACAAAGTCTGAGTGTTTGAATAACAAGACAAAGATGTTGATGCTGAAAATGGGAATGAACAGTGGATGAAGCAGCAGATTGTTAAAGAATGAAAACAGTGTTTGAGCCCTTTAGCTAGAAGACGCCACCTTTTACAACCAGAGCAAAGCATTTCGATTAAACTCAGACATCCATCACATTGTTTTTCTTATTTAAAAAGATTCGCTGCTGCTGTGAAGAAGCTTTTTAAACACAAGAACTGAGATGTACTATGAAGAGTTATAACCTGCTAGATCATCATGGTAAACGATACTGCAGAGCTACATCACCACGGCAACTGATGCTGCAGAACTACATCATCATGGTAACTGATGCTGCAGAACTACATCA